ACGGGCGAAATTCCCATCATCGCTCGCGCACAGCCCCTCCGTTCTGATTGGTCGGTTTGTAATAATGGCGACCAATGGGAAGCGCGGAATACTCCTGAGGTCGTGAGTGAACGAATGCATACCAGCCCTCCCACTGACGTCATCGGGTGGGCGGAGCTTCATCCCACGCTCTGAGCACGGCTTCGTCTGGTATGGACTTCATAATGAAATTTTGTAGGGCTGTTCCGGAAAATCATCCCGTCCATTTCCCTATTATTTTAAAGACGACTTCATGCCAATGTATTTTCACACAAACAGTAGTGTCCAGGTACTATACCTAATATATTTATAGTGAAAGGTGAAGAAGAGAATATACATTTGACAATCGCTATTCCGTACTGGCCCTAACGTCTCCGAGTTGGTCACATGGCGCGTCGTCTGGTGGCCGCGGCGGACCAATCAGCGCGCAGGACGGAGAGCGCAGTCCCGAAATACTTGGAGCTGTAATTGCGGCGGGGGAAACGAAGTTAACAGGACCAGTTATGTTTTTTGTTGTTGTTGTTCTATAATTTTCTTATTAAAGGGTCACTCCATATCAGTCATTTGGCCAGAGAAATCAAAATCACTTCGAGTGATGCACGCCAGACGGAAGCCTTAGTGAAATGTGTGTCGAGACGCGGGATGTCCGTCGATTTTGCAATTTGCATGATATGTATGAGCAAGTTGAAGCGACGGCGATATGGCAGCACGAGCGTCCCGTTGCCATCGGTCGCCAGACGGACCCAAGTCAGGCGTGTGCGTCAACATGCAACTTTGTCACGCTGGCTGATCAATCACTTGTTGGGTTGACTTGCACCATACACTTGTTTAGCCATTGGTACACTTTTGGGCTTGCGGGCTGAGGCGTAACTGCGCGATTTGCCAGGCGTGCAGGTGGGCGGCTCAGCTGATGACCCCACAGTGGGCGATGCATTTATTTACTATCTGTAAACGCTTAAGTGAAGATGGTGGAATTATGTTGTTGTTCACCACGGTAGGATGCTCATTAGGGAACTTTAACCTTATAACTTTTTTCACAGTTAATGAGAGGAAGTTAGCACCAATACCCCATATCCCTTTTGTTAATACTTAAGTTCAGATTGCATAGATGATAAAGTCCGGAAACAAGAAAGTTGGATCTTTTAATGACAGAGATTGCATTGCACACTTGCATTCATGATGGACGATTAAGCACTTGGGTGTTGCCAGCCACAGAATGACAGCATGGCAAGGGATGAGTATATGATCTTAACACTTAGTTGCCGTGACACTGACAAGAGGGGGGGGGGGGGTAAAGTAGGTCAGTTGATACAACAACAGCGAGTGAAAATTAATAGTTCAGTCGACGGGCGCTGACGTTGCCATAAGCCAATAGCGAGCCAGACCTGTCCGGATTGCATGCCTGGCAGGACGTGCATGGCCGGATGCGAATGAAATATGCATCCTCGCCGACTGACCGAATATCCGCAATCAATAGCACGATCAGTTTTTTTTCCGGTTCATTAAGTCCTCGGTGTTTGGGGGAAGTCCATGGGCCATCTGCCACTCAGGAGCCGTCGTCGGTGGCCCTTCCTTGCCGTTCGTGACTGCTGTTTTGGGCTCCATTTTGGCCAGGGCGCGTGGCGAGGGTACAGGTGCGCCGTGCTTGATTGCTTTCAGGTAGATCGTGCTTGATTGGGCGGTAATGTACTTCCAGGTGTGTGTGCTTGGATGTGTTTTTAGGTGAATTGTGTTTGATTGTATTGTCATGCACTTATAGTTGTCTGTTTGATGTGTTTTTTTTAAGGCAAATCGTGCTTGATTTTACCGTAGTGTGCTTTCAGGCATATTTTCTGTAGACTTATGCAAACAAAGGACGTATGGCCCATGAGACAAGGGTTAAAGTACAAAGTTATGTGTAAGTTATAAGTATTTGAGATATACCACAGGTCTAATCACTGAGGATTATGGTGTAATTCCAGTCCTAAATGTTCTGATTGATTCTGGTACTTTATTGCCCATTGTGTGACTTTTCAGAAAGGGCATTTGAATAGGTCAGCCGTGAGAATACTCTCTCTCTCTCTCTCTCTTTCCATCTCTCTCTCTCTCTCTCTCTCTCTCTCTCTCTCTCTCTCTCTCTCTCTCTCTCTCTTCTTTCTTTCTCCCCCCCCTTTCTCTCTCTTTCTTTCTTTCACCCCCCTCTCCCTCCCTCCCCTCTCTCTCTCTCTCTCTCTCTCTCTCTCTCTCTCTCTCTCTCTCTCTCTCTCTCTCTCTCTCTCTCTCTCTCTTTCTCTCTCTCTCTCTCTTTCTTTCTTTCTCCCCCCCTCTCTCTCTCTTTCTTTCTTTCACCCCCCTCTCCCTCCCTCTCTCTCTCTCTCTCTCTCTCTCTCTCTCTCTCTCTCTCTCTCTCTCTCTCTCTCTCTCTCTCTCTCTCTCTCTCTCTTTCTTTCTTTCTCCCCCCCTCTCTCTCTCTTTCTTTCTTTCACCCCCCTCTCCCTCCCTCTCTCTCTCTCTCTCTCTCTCTCTCTCTCTCTCTCTCTCTCTCTCTCTCTCTCTCTCTCTCTCTCTCTCTCCACTTTCTTCTTCACTCTCCCCTCTTTCCACTCCCCTCCCTCCCCACTCTCTCTCTCTATTTATGTCTCTCTCTCTCTCTCTCTCTCTCTCTCTCTCTCTCTCTCTCTCTCTCTCTCTCTCTCTCTCTCTCTCTCTCTCTCTCGATACAAGAGATAATCTTATACAAGTATAGAAATAGGACAAGGTTGATCATTTAGCTAAATTAACACTTTCTCACGAAGAACTATAGTATGCAGTATCTTTATCTCTTAATAATAATGATAAAAAATTATTAACTATCTTCAAGATTATATGGGCTAGGTATGGACTATGGAAAACTTAAGAGGAAACATGGACATGGCACCACCTGGCATTATGGGAATATTGCAGGGAGATATGATATAGACAACTCCTATGAAGTCTGAAGTGAACTGTCTCGGGCTATGCAGGTTACACTAACCAGGCAACGCTTATGATAGCAGCATACTACACAGTATATGTGGTAGGGAAAGGGAGGAAGGGAAGGGAAAGGGAAGGGAGGAAGGGAAGGGGAAGGGAGGAAGGGAAGGGGAAGGGAGGAAGGGAAGAGAGGGAAGGGGAAGGGAGGAAGGAAAGATACAGTTTTGGAGGCAAGGCTAGTTTCATATCGCCACTGCAAACTGTGCAAGGCGGATGATCTTACCCATTACTTACTCTGTTGCACGAAAACTGCATCTTATCGATCAAATAGCACTGTCCAGAGACCAGCACTTATTGATTATTTTAATCTTATTATAGGCACTGTTCTTGTCTTTGCTATGATTAGTGATATAAAAGTTTTTTTCTTCTTTTTCTTTTTTTACCGACTAGATAATATGTAAATATTGCAAGCACATATGTAAGAATTATGTTTTATTGATAGCCCTCTAAATAAACAGAAGCACAAGTTTAGATAGATGCTTTAGCATCTTACTCTGGCTTTTTGCAGGGCCTGTACGCTGTTCTTATCAATTTTATCAAATCTAATCTCTCTCTCTCTCTCCTCCCTCCTTCCTTCCTTCCTTCCCTCCTTCTTCCTCCTTCCTCCTCCCTTCTCCCTCCCTCCCTCCCTCCCTTCTCCCTCTCTCTTTCCCTCCCTCCCTTCTCCCTCTCTCTTTGCCTCCCTCCCTCCCTTCCCCCCTCCCTTCTCCCTCTTTCTTTCCCTCCCTTCTCCCTCTCTCTTTCCCTCCCTCCCTTCCCCCCTCCCTCCGTCCCTCCCTTCCTCCCATCCTCCCTCCCTCCCTCACTCCCTCCTTGGCTCCATCACGTACATTACCCCCCCATCCACTCCCCCCCAACCAACCCTCCCCCAGCACGACGCCAGAGAAGGAAACCCCCGCCAGAGGATATTCATGAGGAGCCCATGGAGCGGCGCCATCTTTGTGTCTCCGAGCTGTGCTGCTTATGACGGCACCCCTATGGTCTCGGGAGAGGATGGGGGGGGGGGGGGGGGGGGTAGAAGGGATAGGGGGCAGGGAGGAAGGGAAGAGAGGGGAAAGGGACAGGGAGGAAGGGAGGAGAGGGGGAGGGATGGAAGGGAAGAGAGGGGAAGGGAGGAAGGGAAGAGAGGGGAAAGGGACAGGGAGGAAGGGAGGAGAGGGGGAGGGATGGAAGGGAAGGGGGCAGGGAGGAAGGGAAGAGAGGGGAAGGGAAGAAGGGAAGAGAGGGGAAAGGGACAGGGAGGAAGGGAGGAGAGGGGAAGGGTGGTAGGGAGGAAGGGATGAGAGGGAAGGGGGAAGGGAGGAAAGGAGGGTAGGGGGCAGGGAGGAAGGAAAAGAGAGGGAAGGGGCAGGGAAGAGAGGGGAAAAGGATAGGGAGGAAGGGATGGGAGGGAAGAGAGGAAGGGAAGGAGGGGAGGAAGGGAAGAGAGGGAAGGGGAAGGGAGGGAGGGAAGAGAGGGAAGGGAAGGGAAGGGGAAGGGAAGAGAGGAAGGGAAGGAGGGGAAGGGGAAGGGAGGAAAGGGAGACAGGGAAGGGGAAGGGAAGAGAGGGAAGGGGAAGGGAGGAAAGGGAGAGAGGGAAGGGGGAAGGGAAGAGAGGGAAGGGGGTGGGAGGAAGGGAAGGGAGGGAAGGAGAGGGGAGGAAGGGAGAGAGGAAGGGGAAGGGAGGAAGGGGCGAGAGGGAAAGGGCAGGGAAGAGAGGGGAAAGGGATAGGGAGGAAGGGAAGGAGGGAAGGGGAAGGGAAGAGAAAGAAGGGGGTAGGGAGAAAGGGAAGAGAGGGAAGGGGAAGGGAAGAAGGGGAGAGAGGGAAAGGGCAGGGAAGAGAGGGGAAAGGGATAGGGAGGAAGGGAAGGAGGGAAGGGGAAGGGAAGAGAAAGAAGGGGGTAGGGAGAAAGGGAAGAGAGGGAAGGGGAAGGGAGGAAGGGAGAGAGGAAGGGGTAAGAGAGGAAGGGAAGGGAGGGAAGGAGAAGGGAGGAAGGGAAGAGAGGAAGG